ATGGGGTGCACATAACATGTAAAGGGGAGACTAGGGAGTCACTGTCTTCCTCTGTCACTTTCTACCTCTCATTCCTGAGTCAGAGTGTCCCTTTAGACCTGGTGCCCATGTTTTCTGGGCCAGGTGAGAAGCCAGCAAATCCTGGAAATGCTCCTGTCTCCACTCTTCCAGAGCCTGGATTATAGTGTGTTTGGCATGCTGACTTGTTATGTGGGTGCAGGGATCTGAACCCCAGCCCTCAGAGTCATGCAACAAATGCTGTTAACCACCAAGCTGATGTGGTAGGGTCTTCTGTTTTGTGTTGATTTCACTGGTTAATAAAGAAACTGCCTTCTGCAGTTACACTTCTGGAGCCTTTGTTTTGCAAGTTTTTCTAACAATACAATAATTGAAATAGCTTTTTATGGTGGGAATTTTCCCTAATGATAAAGCGAGATCTTGTAGAGAGCATCACTTTTTAAGCAGAGGACATTGATCTGCATCCATATTTCAGCTTTTTACAGTGGCACTCATACAGAGAAGCTGAGTCTTTCGCAACCGAGTTTGGCAATGTTTAATTTTTTTCCAAAATGGTTTTCTTTGTTGTAAAAATATTTTATTGAGGATGTTAGCTTTCTTTTATTAACCCTTAGTGTATTTTGTGTTTTTCATCATTTGCCACCTCAGATTACTGTGGAGCAGAGTGGGACCCAGCTGTTGACATTCTCCACTTGGGAAGAGGTGGCTTGTATTGGAAATGTGGCCTCATGTGTTCTTACTCAGGGAAGATGATCATGGGTTCTAATGGCTCAATCTTCCTGAAAAGTACATCTCATCCCTTCCTGATATAATTACCAAAATTAGCATTCTGTCAGGTTGTTATGACCTCCTGATGAGCCTGGTGATGGAACAGTTTGGGGCAAATGAGTGGAACTTGGGTGATGGAGCAGGTTAGGAAAAGAATGTTAGTTTCTGTCTCGTGCCGTTTTATTGCTTTGTTCGTGTTTGTTTTTACAGACACGGGAGTTGCTGGTTATGCCTTTGTTTCTCTTATCTTAGTTGTTCACACTTCTCGTTTTCATTTTATGTGCTTATTTTTCAAGGTGGATGCTTCGGTGCAGCTGGAATTGTCCCTTTGGGGCTGGCATTGTAGCCTCTCAGCCCTGCTTCTCCCCAAGAAGTGAACAGAAAACTCCCTATGAATCTGCCACTGTCCCCTGATAGGACCTGCATGATAGGCAGTCTTAAAACACAAAAGCTTCATGGTGGACCTGTACCAGTTACGGGGCACACATTAGGCAAGGACAAATAAAGACCTCAAATCCTGAAGGAGTGAAACTGTTCAGGCAAACATGGCTGTCTCTAAGTGTGGCCAATTAGTTGTGCAGACAAACATGTCTGTACCTCAATGCAAGTCCAGTTTTGGTGATTGCAGCCCCAGCTGGCGCATCATATTCATGCATGTGCTTAGTCTGGCAGTGACTGCTCACAGTATGCAGAATCATGAGACTTCAGGAACACCAAACATGAGACTGAGGATTCTACCTCGCTTTTCTTTCTTTCTATAATGACTTCTTGGTAGTAAAAATTTGAGGAATCACCTCTCACTAGAAAGAATGACTGAAAGAAAGCCTTACAATGTCTGAACACTGTTAATTCCTAGAAGGTCTTTGAAGTGCTTTTGAATTGGTCTGGCAGAGGAGGACTGTCAAGGCCAGGGCTTACCATTGAGCTGACTCTCCTCTGGCTTGAGTTCTGTAGCAGCCTGTCTGGACATAGAGACTGCTGCCTCAGTGGTGCTGATTGGATGTCACAGCTGCTTCCTCTCTGTGTGATGTGATTTGAAGTTGCAGCCTCCCAGAAGCTATTGCTCCCCAACCTTTGCAGGTTGGGGAGCAGACTGCTGTTTTCTCCAGTAGATGATATTTCTATTCTATCCTGGGTGATTTCCCCCTCTGTATTCACCCAGCAACAGAGGAGGCACCATTCCAGGAACTTGCTCTTTCTACAGAAGGCATACGTGGAACCATTTGGATGGAGAATTTGTAAATTAAAATCCTGTTCATTTTAAAATATTCACATTGTGTTGTTCAAATGCCAGTGACTGGAAAATCACATTTAATGTCCTGTTTTCATAACCCCTTTCAGAATGCTATAAAATGTGTTTGTGTTGTTACTTGGCCATCTTTCTTCCTAGAGCTTTTCTATTTTTTTTTAAATTATAGTTTTTTAAACAGGATGTATGAATCTGGGTCTGGTTGGTAGTTCACTTCTGTTATCTGCAGGCTGAGACAGGATGCTGATCATAGCTTTGCAGCCGGCCTTAGCTACAGAATGAGCTCCAGGCCAGGCTATGCTAAATGAATCTCTGTCTTATAAAAGGTCCAGGATCACATAAATGCAATGTCTGGTGGCATGTAGAATTTTAAAATCAAGATTACACCATCAATTGGAATATTTTTAAAAGTTTCTTTTACTTTTTGATGGTTTCATACATATATGTAACACAGCTTGACCATATTTGTAAGGGATAGGCTGATAGTTCTATTTTCAGAGTTACTGACAAGCAGGGCTTCTCTCCTGTAGCTGGGCTGACCCCAGTTTGTCTCACAATTCAGAAAGTTACAAGTGATCTGCTTCATGGCTGAGCCCAGAATTGGAGAAAAAGAACAGCTTCAAGCTCCAGATTGTTGATTGGGTGAGGGCTTTTGACCTAGGCTAATGAAATGGGCAGTGTTGGAGGGATGCAAATCCTGGCCTATAAGAGATGAGCAGGGGATCGTAATCCACTGTGCTGCTCCAAATCCACGTGGCAGCCATCTTGCCTTTTTCCCAATGCTTGTACCTTTCTGCAGAACTGTATATAAAGGCTGCTTCATTTCCACTAGCCTCTTGAATTTATTATCATATTTGTAACAATACTCACCCCAAATTCCCTTAGTTCTCCCCTAGACAGGCTGCAATGTATCCTCTTCCCACCTTTGTGTCCCCTTGTCCTCTCCTCTTTTGAGTGTGTAACCTAGTGAGTCCAGCTGGGGTGGACCGAATGCCGTCTTAGGCAGGGCTTGTGCAGGTAACCACAGCTATGGTGAGTTCTTGAGCATAAAGGCTAGGTCATGTCCAGAAGGAAGCATCTCCTAGCTCTCCTTCTATACTGTTCTTGCTGCTTTCGTAATGCTCTCTGTTCCTTAGGGGATGGGGGGTAGAGGTGTTGATATTACACATTTTTAAATAGAAAAAAATTTTAATTAATTTAAAGATAATGTTCACAAAATAATAAAACATTCCAGGTGTGTTTCTTTGGAGGATAAGGACTTATTCTTTCTGAAACCTGTATATTCAAACTGAGGAAGCCTGTAAAATATTCTTAACATTACTGTTTTTTTTTTCATCCTTTGTTTTTGTTTTTGAGACTAGGTCTTATCTGGCCTGGAATTCACTATCTAGGTCAGCGTGGCTTCTAACTCAGAGATCTGCCTGCTTCTGTCTTCTGCTTAAAGGCGTTCACCACCACACCCAGATATATTACTGATTTTAGTACTAAAACATCCCCAGTTTTTGCTTTATCTGAACTTTTCAATAGGTTCTATTCTTATTGCTGATCCATGATTCTGTAAGTGAAAAGTGGGCGGTTCACATCCACCCTCTTGTCCTCTGAGCTGTGTAAATCTCAGAAAGATAAAATCTATTTTTGCAGGTTTGATAATAAAGCACATAGCTCTTATCTATAGAAAGAATAGCATCTATATCGATATCTTAGGTCCAAGCAGCAAACTGCATTGCTGATAATTGAGTTCTGTTGTGGGCTTTCTTCTGTACAGTTTGAATCTATCCGTGTTTACAGACATGTCACGTTTGCCTCTCTTGGCTATTACAGTTTAAACTGTGCTTTGGAAGCCTGCCATGCAATGACAGTTTTAAGACAGTTTCTGGAAACTTCCACCGTGTTTCCCTCTGGAAGCTGTGTCTGTGCCCCTGTATGTGGAGGTCTTCCTAAGCAGGGAATCAGCTGACCTGAAATAACTTCACACCACCTTCCTTTTGTTTGTTTTAGCCTTTTATTATTAGCTTATCCTCTCACTGAATGTGGGTTCAGGAAGGGTCTGTCTGTCTACCAGGAGAATGTGGGTGGTTCTTGCTTAGTCTGTTTCATTCATTTTTATACCATTAGGTGATCCGGAAGTGTTTTCTTTTGTTTTTGAAAGGCTGCTATTGCAAACCGTTACCTTTTGTTTGGTTGGTTTTACTTTTAGAGACAAGGACTTACTCTGTAATACACACTGGCCTAGAATGCTGAAACTTAGGCTTGTACTTGGAGCAGTTCTCCTGTCTCAGCTTCTCGAGAGCTGAGATCACAAGCATGTGCTGTCCATCCCAGCAATAGGATTCATTACAGCAACAAAAATTAAATATTCTTTCGTAGGGTAAAAGCACTAAGCAAATGAAGAAGGGTTTCCAAGGCAGCCACTTAGTCTAGGTACCAGCCAATGTTTTTAATGTGAAAATAAAGTGTGCACGATTTCAATTGAATAAAGGAGACAGATTATAATAGTGACTAAGGAAAATAGGTTCGTTATGATTGGTTAATAGTTTGTGAGTTAATCCTTAACTACACTTGACATTTTTCCTTCAGTTGGTGACAGAGGGACTAATGAGTTAACTGTTCCCAGTTCTTATTCTGTGGAGGGACTCTTTCCATTCACAGTTTACAGTGGCTAGTCGGTATTCTCTGAGGTGGGACTAGAACTCTAGTGCTGATCAGTGCTTTGGAGAAGCATGCTTGACCTGATTGCCTGGGGATGTTGATGACTTCATGGGGCACACTGTTACCTTATGACATTGTTACGACTCTCAGATGTTCATAAAATGAACTTAATAAGCCACTGCCAAGGAGGAGTAAACTGCTTTTTCGGCGACTGAATGAGCCGACTGTCTGCATAATGGTGTTGAAAATACTCCATTAGAAAGAGTGAGCAGTGGTTCGGTGAAGGAAATGGCTAATTATCTTCTTTAATCCACAGAGGGTGTTTGCGAGATATGGCTGACCAGCGAAGACACTGGCGCCTACGGCAGAGACATTGGCACAGATCTCCCCACACTTCTATGGAAGCTGGTGGAAGTGATTCCTGAGGGAGCCATGCTGAGGCTGGGCATGACAAACCCACCATATATTTTAGAGCATCTGGAGGTAAGAAAAGGCTCCATTGACAGGCTGACACAGCTGTCCCTAGCACAGACCATGTGGCCTCCTCAGGATCATCATTCAAGCTGTGTTTAGAACCATTGTCTCGTGTGTCTACAGTCGCACATTCCCAAGAGAAAATGAATGAGACTTTTAAAGCTCTTCTTTCATTCTATCCAATTTATTGTTACTTTCTTAATATTTGATTCATATATCTATATATACATATATGTGTGTGTGTGTGTAACTCTTTATGTTCCTAACTCACTGCTCCTGGGTACTGGCACTAAAGGTTTGGGCCACCACGCTTGGCTGTTTATTTTTATTTCAGTGCCTTTCTGTGTGTCTGCATGTGTTTATGCCATTTGTGTGAGGGTGCTGTCCTCCCAGAGCTAGAGTTACATGTGGTTGTGAGCCATTGCATCAGTGCATGTGGTTGCCTACGTCATCCACATGCATCCTGCTATAGCATCACATGCATTAGTTACTCTGCCGTCTCTCCAGGCATGCTCAGCCCATCGTGGTTTGCTTAAGTTATTTAGTCGCTGGCACCTTGTCATGGTTATTTTTTTTTTTTTTTTTGCTTTTTTTTTTTTTTTTTTATAATCATTCAGTTAGTTTCTCAACACATAAATCTCACTTGCTTCCCCCAGTTTGAGACCTTGCCTAATTGAGAACCACTAATCCATTGCATTCGTTCTGAAAGCCACGGTCAGTTGGGCTGCTTTAACTGTTTTGTCTTAAGCTTGAGGGTGACTTTTCAGTTCGTCTTTTTTCTAGAGATAGACAGGGCCCAAGTAGAATGAAAGGAATGTTGGACTTGAAACTCTTTGGGATTCATCTGTGAGCAAAGGAGGAGAAGTGTTCTAGAGACTTCTATACATTAGAGTTTAACCTTTAGGTTACATAGCCAAATGTCAAACTAGAAAAAAAAAATAGGCACGTGTCCAAGGAGCAGTGGTGTCTGATGACAAATATCACATAAAGACAAGCAAAGAACATCAACAGAGGAACAATTGTTTTAATGAAAAAGAACATTCTAGGATCCACGATTATTACTGGAAAACTATTACTGTAAATCCAGAGTCTGCCCCAAGCCCAAGTGCTGCTAGTTGTGTGTGTATAGTAAGGAAACGAGGCTTCTTTTTCACCAAGGGTATTGTTTGTACCATTTTTTTTTTTGTGCAGGAAATTATGTTTCAAAAGCCTTAAAGTAAACATAGTTGCTAAATTTTACTGTCCAAATGCCAAATTATTTAAACCTTGAAAACTTTACTGGGGTAGGGGCCTGGAGAGCTGGTACAGAGATTATGAGTACTTGCTACTCTTCTGTCCACATTGTGTGGCCCGTAGCCTCCCATAACTCCAGTCAGTACATCCCTTGATGCCCTCTTCTCTCCTCTGTGCCCTCCACCACATACAGCAGACACTCACTCAATAAATCGGTTAATATTTATTTCAGTGATTTGATTTTAGGACTAGTTGAGAGTATTATGGAAAAGGCAACCAATATCGGGATCGTAGTTTAGAAATCCTTCCAACAGTTGATGACAAATTGGTAATTGTAATTTATGATGGAGACATGTTTCAGGTTTGTTCTTCACATTTTCCCTGCTCAGTCTTTCTATAGACCTGTGATTTATAGATTGAGTTTCATGCTTCATACAGTGTCAGCTGATTATTATAACTTGCTATTTTAAAATGAGTTAAAAGCATGTCAACTTCTACTTAACACTTTGACTTAACACTTGAGAAAGCAAGTGCTTTTAGTTAAAATGGGACTATGGCAGTCTCGCTGTGTTTGCAGTAAGTGTGAGGCACGCATGGCAGAAGCCCGACAATGTGCTGGATGTATCTTTGGTAGGAAGGGGATTGGGCTTCACTGATATGCAGTTGATGGTGACATGCCAATTCCTTTAGATTGGAAAGAAAAGTTGATCTAGATTCTAAGGTCGTTTTGACAGAGTTCAGGTAGGGAATAAACACAAGTTAAAAAAAAATTGTTCAAAGGTGTTAAGCAAGTCCTTCTTGGAAAGAATCCAGCATTTTAATTGGTGGCAGGATTGTAGCCACAGATGCTGCCTTCATAGCACGTCCCAATGTAGTCCATATAAAGCAGTGATTGACTTGTTGGCCTCCCAAAAGGTGATCTAGAGGTCCTTATAGGAATCACAGATGTGGTTCACTGTAACTTTATTCTGTAGCTGGGAAACACCAGATGGTTAGTTTATGAATTCTAGAAGTGATTAAAAAGTTCTGGTTAATTTTTGTTGTTGTTGTTGTGCTAGGAGGTGGGTAGGCATCCGAAGAAGCTGGATATGTGCCCTCAGCTTAGCCCCATCCCCACCTCAACTTGATAACACGTTTTAATTGTCAAGACATTGTACTCTTATTCTTTGCTTTAAAACTGGCCTTTCCTCCTTCACTGTCAGTTATCTTTAGAGTGCTCAGTAAATGAGTATAGAAGATGGAATAAAGGAAGACTCTTCTTCCTAAAAGAAACTATAGAGTCCACAGTATGATCATAAACTTTGAAATCATCACACTGTGGCCAATAGAGACAACAAAGGATCATAATATAAATGAGTTTTGAGGATAGGAGCACACCACAAGAAGTCATGATTTCACATGAACTAAAGGTAGTGATTCAGGGAAATGTACCTCCCTGGGAATAGGTCATCCAAAAAACCAAAATGAACAAAGACAGATAAAAATGGAAAAGTCCACGCCTTTTGGAAATAAGAACTATTAAACTCCTAGCACTTTGACAAGACCTTGAAGTTGCTGCCATCTTCCCATGGTGCAGATCCAGGTTGTGATGGCAAATACACCATGTGTGACATAAAAGGTACCCTATGTTCCAAAGTCCTAAGAGCTTTCAGAAAGGAGAGCAACTCAAGATATTCAGCCCCTCGCCCAACAGCGTATCTCCTTTCTTTATTGTCCACTCCGTAGGATTATATCACTCTACAGAAATAATTGACTTACCTAAGATGCTGAGATAAACAACAAGAAGAAAGTAAAAAGGGGCAAGTGTAGGCTGAGACTGGTTGTTCGTTTCCTGGCCACCCAGACCCAAATAATCAAACAAAACTGTATTAATTACAACACTATTTGACCTATTAACTCAGACTTTTTATTAAATAACTCTTACCTCTTCAGTGAACCTATTTCTATTAATCTGTTTCTATCTGCATGAGGCTGTGGCTTACTGGTAAGGGTCCAGGATGTTACTCCTTTGGTAGCTATGTGGCGTCTTGTTGGGTACCATTTTGCAGGTAGAGACTGCTCATTTGTTTCCTGGCCGCTTCAACTCAAATAATAACACAGAAACTATATTAACTACAATACTGGTCAATAGCTTAGGCATATTTCTAGCTATCTCTTACATCTTAAATTAACCCATTTCTATTAATCTGTGTATCACCACAAGGCTGTGGTCTACTTGCTTGGACTGATTGATGGTATGCTGTATAAATTGGGCATGTGGTTTACTGGTAAGGTTCTGGCTGGTGACTGGCATCTTTCTTTTTTGTCAACAACATGACATCTCTATGATTCTTCTCTCTCTCTCTTCCCTCCCTTCCCCCTCTCTCTGTCTCTCTCTCCATCTCTGATTTCCTGCCTGGCTTGTCTCTGCTAAGCCATTGGCCCAAATAGCATTATTTATCAACCAATAAAAGCAGCAAGGACATTCCATATCATCTCCTCTTTTCTGTCTAAATAAAAATAAACATTTTAACTTTAACATAGTAATATTACATATAAGAAACAGGTATCAAACAAAAATTACAGTTACAATATTTATATCTATTCTCCATCAAAGACCCTGGAAGAATATAATATTACCTAAGTTAATAGAAAGTACATTGTAAGCAACTTCCGAAGCTCTAGGATGGACAGAAACTTCATGCTGCCTGGACAGTTACCCAAAGTTGTTTTGTATCATTGGGGCATCCATCTTCAGACTACAAGCCCATAGTATTCAGCAGACTTTTCCATGAAGCAGGAAGTTTGAAAGAATCTTTCACCTATCTTGGCAGTTTGTCAGTCACTTTTATTATATATCTTGTAGAATGTCTTGAGGTTTCTTCTGTGAAGCAGGAACCCTGAAGGACCATTCTATCTTTTGGAATGTTTAGCAGTCACTTTTTGGTGGGTCCTGCATGTCCAATTTATACAGCATCAATCAGTCCAAGCAAGAGCAGTTTCTTGCCCAAATGGCTAGCAAAGTCCATATTGAGCCTCTTCAGGGGATCTTGTTTAATCAAAACATATTAACCAGTAAGGAATCCACAGCTTTCTATCTTCTCTGGAAACAAAAGCAGAACCTCTCTTCCAAAACAACATATCCTTAGACCCAAATTTTGAAGTCAAGATACCTTTAAAACGTATATGTTGGTTTTACTTAGCAGCTCATACAATGAAATGTCTCTGTGTACTTAGCTCATTCACAGTCAAAAATTCAAATAAAATAAAATAATATATATAATCCAGACTCTGTGTATTTTCCATCTTTACGTGGCTTATTTTTTTTACTCCTTTAATCTCTGAGTGTACTCTGTCTCTTTAAAAACTTTGTTTTATTATTTAAAATAATTTTTTATGACTGTCTATACACTTTTTCTTTTCCCTCAAGCATAAACACACTGTGACCTGTTTAAAGGTTAATTTCTGTACAAATCTGTCTCATTTTCTGACCAGGAACATTGTAAAGTGGTAAGCTGTGTGGTTTGGGTAGTCTTGGTTGCTGGCATTGCCTCTCTCGGCCTTTCAATCTGGTGGAAGTAACCTTACTGCCAACTCTGGGACTCCCAGGTGGGAGCTGTGCTCACCACCTCAATTCTGGGAAGCAGTTGACCCATGCTGCCACCAAGTAACTTGCAGAACATTGCCCACAAACCCCATTCAAGTGCTCAGCTTCCTGAAAGAGTCAGAGCTGTTCCTGCAACCAGCATGAACCAGGAAACCTTCTTAAAGGATCTGCACAGTTTTTGCTGCTACCA